TGCCACCCTGAGGTCAGACTCCTGCTCTCCTCCCAGTCCCCCCCCCGCCCCACCCCTGCGTCCTCCCGGCGCCCTCTTCTTTCTCTTCGCCCCTCCCTGGTCCTCCCCTGTCCACTCTCCTTCTCTCCTGCTCCACTGCCCCTACTCCTCCTTTCTCTCTGCAGCTGGCTGGTGAGGAGGGGGCTGCCCTGAGGAGCACCGGAGTGCGCTGGGAGGGGACGTGGGCTGGTGTCATTTGTCTGTAGCCCTAAGACCGGTCTGAACCGGTTACCGGGAGAGGAGGAGGGGGCAGCCAGATTGATGGCTGTGAAGAGGGAGCGAGCAGCAGAGGGAGCTCTGGCGCTGGCTTGTGGGGCGGTGGTGGGCGGGTGCCGCGGGTGTTCCCCGCATCTGGACACCTGGAGCTGCCGGTGGCTGGCAGTGTGGGGGCCGTGGGGGCCCGTGTGGCTGTGGCGTGCATGCCTTTCTGCCCAGGCCGCTGCCTCCTCTCCGCTGGGCCCACCAGCTCCCTATGGGACCCCACCACTCTGTCCCCTCAACCACACTGCAGGTGCATCGGAACCTGTTTCTGGATCAGCGTCCTCCAGGGGCTGTCCCGCAGTCTGAGGACCAAGGACCTACTGGTCCAAAGCCCTGGGTGGCCCCCTCCCAACACCCTGCCTCCACCTGGTACCCCCCAGACCCCTTTGGTTTCCTCCGGTTTCTCCCAGCTGCTCCCTCCTCAGAGCTTCTCCCTGCTTGGCTCTTCCCTCCTTAGCCCTCACCCTCCTCCTGCAAATCCAAGCCCACTTGCCACTTACTCCAGGAAGCCTCCTGGGACTCCCTCAGACCTCCTCCCTCAATTGGGGTCCCGGATTGTGAGTTCCCTGAGGACAGATTTCCTGGACTTGTTGAACTTGTTCACATGGAGGTCCCTGACACCCTATACAGTCTGCTGAGTGAATTAATGAATGGATGAATGAATGTGGGCTGGTGGGGGGTGAGTCAGTGCACACATAGGCATAGACAGCTGGCTTCGAGGGCATCCTGCGTGTGCCCGGGTGTGCGTTCGCTCTGTGGGTGGCACACACTGGGGGGGGGCAGGCCCCAGGGCAGAAGTGCCCCCGGGTGCCTGAACTGCACCTTCCTGTCTCCTGCCTGATTCTCAGAACACGCAGATGGCCTATGCCACCGCCTGACCACCGTGTGCCCCACGTCCAAGCCGCAGACGCAGGGCCTGGCCAAGGATGCCTGGGAGATCCCCCGGGAGTCGCTTCGGCTGGAGGTCAAGCTGGGCCAGGGCTGCTTCGGAGAGGTGTGGATGGGTAAGGCCTTGCACTGTCCCTTGGGAGAGGTACCACCCTTCCCTTGGCTTCCTCTGCCCAGCAGTGGGGCCCTGTTTCAATATAGAGCGCCCCAAGGTGGGCATGGCTCCCCAGTGCTGGGTCACGCCCCTCAGAACACAGCACCCACTCACAGGAACTGTCAGGGCTGGGCATCACGGCTCCCACAGACCTACAGCGGGGTCTGTGCCAGATGGCCTCATGCTGTGCCTCAGTCTTCCCCACTGTAGAATGGGGCTGGTGATAGCGGACTGGCCTGGTGTGAGTCTGCACATTAGCTGTTAGCCCTGGCAAGGGAAGCCCCACGCGGATGGGTGTGCTGGGAAGCCTGAGATCTGGCACGTTCTGAGCCCGTTAGTGATTTCCTGTCAAACCCTGGAGAAACAGCAAAGCCATCCTTGGAAATGAGCACCACACAGCTCTGACCAGACCCAGGCCCCTTTCTGCTGGCTGCTTTCTGCTGACACAGGGATCACAGGGTCCTGGGAATGGGGGGCAGCTGTGAGCCTGTGGCATCCACATGTGCTGTTTTCAAGGATGTTTCGTCTGCATTGTGATATTCACTGGGAATCCCTCTCTCCACCTTCCTCCCTTCTGCTGCTTCCTCTCTGCTGGGGGAGGGGAGCAGAGAGACCTCCTGGGTGTAAGGCACTGGCAGGGACAGGCCTAGAGGCTGGCGGTCAGCCAGGGAGGGGAGGGTGTGGGCTTTGGGCTGGTGTGAGGGGGGAGGACAGGAGGCAGCACGTGGCACAGCCCCAAGATGAGGATTTGAGCAAGACCTGGGGATTCCACAGCATCAGCTGCTCTGGGGCTGCAGAGCCCACTCCTGGCTTGGGTGTGTGGTGATGTCGGGAGGAGGTTCTTGCCTCCTCCCTGGGTGCTCTGAGCAGACTCCTGAGGGCATGTGCAGATGGAGACCCAGGGATGGGGAGGGACCTTGAGTCTTGCTGGGACAAGAACCCGGGTTGAACACACATCGATCTAGAAAACAGCTTCCCCCAAGGCCCTACAATTAAATACCCAGATGACAGTGACATGGTAACTACATTGTTGACTGAGTCCTCGCAGTGGGCTGGGCCCGATGGCTAAGTCTCATCTGGATCACAGACAGCCCCACAGGTAGGTTGTGGGATCCCCACTTTCCAGCTGATTTGACTGAAGCTTAGGGAGGGGACTGACTCTCCCGCCGTCTCACTGCAGGCGGGAGACAGAGTTGGGAGTCGGAGTCTGAGCCTCAAGCCTTGAGCTTAGCGCAGTGCCTTACTTTGGGAAGGCGGGCTCCGGAGGCGACTTCCTGTTCTGGTGGCCCCAGTGGCCCTGGACCAGCTCTATCTCACCCCTGGCCCCATGCTCCATTTGCTGATGCCCGAGGCATCTTCCATGCCATAACCCGGAAGGACCATGACCACCTAGGAGAGCAACTGGGTTGGACCCCTGATCTCCCATCTGTCAGGCTCGTGGGCTGCCTTTGGGGCCACCCCTCATAATCACGGCCCCACTGAGGCAGCCTGCGTTGCTCACCCACAGGCACCTGGAACGGCACCACCAGGGTGGCCATCAAAACCCTGAAGCCGGGCACGATGTCCCCAGAGGCCTTCCTGCAGGAGGCACAGGTCATGAAGAAACTGAGGCACGAGAAGCTGGTGCAGCTGTATGCAGTGGTGTCTGAGGAGCCCATCTACATTGTCACGGAGTACATGAGCCAGGGTGAGGCCTGAGCGGCAGACGGCCTCACTCTCCCATCTAGTGTGTGCATCCTCGGGGGTGGAGTGGGACAGCGTGGAATTTTCACGTTCGTGGAAAGTTAAACCCAAGACTGCCTTTCTCCTTTCGGTTCTAAAAATGGATTTCCCACAGTGCAACTCGTCTCCCCCAGTTTGCTGGTTTTCTAAAGCCATTTGCCACTCTGGGGCTCAACGAGATCTCCCTCAGCACTCCAAGCTGAACCCATAGAAGCCAAGTCCTTGGTTTGACCTTAACTTAACTCTCTCTCTTTTTTTTTGAAGCCAGATTTCACTCCGTTGCCTAGGCTGGAGTGCAGTGGCATGATCATGACTTACCACAGCCTCGACCTCCTGGGCTCAGGTGGTCTTCTGCCTCAGCCTCCAGAGTGGCTGGGATGCCAGGCCTGTGCCACCACACCTGGCTAATTTATTTTATTTTATCTTTTTAGAGACACAGTCTCGCTCTGTTTCCAAGGCTAGTCTTAAACTCCCGGGGCTCAAGCGATCCTCCTACCTCAGCCTCTCAAAGTGCTGGGATTACAAGCATGAGCCACCACACTTGGCCTAATTTTTAAATTAATTAGTTATTTTTCAAAGTTTCACTTTTTGGAGGTATCATTTGCATATGGTGAAATACACCCATTTTACATGTCCAGCGCCATGAGTTTTGACAACTGGATCCTCTGCGTGTCCCTCATCACAATCGAGCTATGCAACACCTGCATCCCCCAGGAAGTTCCCTGGGCGGCCTCAGCCTGCTGTCAGTCTAGACTGATCAGTTGTCCTGGCACTTCACACAGGGAGTCTTGCACTGGAGAGTCATCCTGGTTGCACCTGTTGGCAGTCTGTCCCTTTTCTCTCATGGCTCAGGGTTCTGCTGGGTGCCTGTCCCAGTTTGTCTGTTCACCTGTAGGCGGGCGTTGCTGGGGTCCCATTCTGCTTATTTCTTGAGTTTCAGACGCTGAGTGTGATTCATTGGGAGCAGGGTTTACTTAAAATCTGCTGTGCTGGTTAAAGCGAGGCCAGCCACCTGGGGGGTCAGGCTCAGGGAGGACAGGCCAGGGGCTGGAGCTGGCTCTCTCTCTCTGTCCAGGGAGTTTGCTGGACTTTCTCAAGGGAGAAACGGGCAAGTACCTGCGGCTGCCTCAGTTGGTGGACATGGCTGCGCAGGTGAGTCAGCCCCTACCGCCTCCCCACACCTTGGCCCTGCAGCACTCAGAATCATCTGGCTCAGCCAGTTCTGGCCTCCCCAGTACCCCCTCTAGGAAGCCTGCTTTGATTGCCCCCATGCTCATTGATCTTGCTGTGTGTATCACCAGGACCACTTGCAGGTGCCATGAGTGGTGCTTCTGGGCCCAGGAAAGCCCTTACCTGGGTATCAGGAGTCACTGACCTGCTGTGGGACCTCAGGCCTCAGTTTTCTTCTCTGTCAAGGTCCCATAGTCACTCAGCAAACAGGTATTAGCGCTTGCTGCAGGCGGTGCTCAGCAACCATTTTTTCACTTAATCCTTATCAAACCAGGAGTAATTGAGACTGTTATTATTCCCATTGGATGACAGAAAACCTAGGCCCAGAGAGGGGACGCGGAGCAGCAGGCAGGACACTCGTCAGTGTCCGCGGGTCAGCTGGGGCCTCCTTTATGTATGGTCTCCCACGGTCCTGGCTGTATCCTGTCTTTCCCCTTTTCCCTGCGTGGCCCCTGATTTTTACGCCAACAGCGTTTTCTGTAAACTGACTCACTCGCCTGAAGAAGTGGGAGGGCAGGGAGCGTGGGCGGCGGCCCAGCCCGGGGGCTCCCGCGGCCCGGGGAGGGTGCGGGTGACCCCAGCCAGCTCCGCGGGTTCTGCCCGCAGATCGCCTCGGGCATGGCGTATGTGGAGCGGATGAACTACGTCCACCGGGACCTCCGAGCCGCCAACATCCTGGTTGGGGAGAACCTGGTGTGCAAAGTGGCCGACTTCGGCCTGGCCCGCCTCATCGAGGACAACGAGTACACTGCTCGGCAAGGTGGGCGGCTCTTGTGCGGGAGGCAGGGTGGGGTCGTGGGAGGGAGGCGGGTGGGCGGGGTCTTGTGGAGACACGCGAGCCTCAGGCAGGCCACGCCCCGCCTTAGCCCCAGTGGGGGTGGGCGTGGTACCGCCACGCACCACGCAGAGCGGCCCTGACACGCCGGTGCGCCTCGGCTGACCCTTCTCGCTCCTGCAGGCGCCAAGTTCCCCATCAAGTGGACGGCTCCAGAAGCTGCCCTCTATGGCCGGTTCACCATCAAGTCGGACGTGTGGTCCTTCGGGATCCTGCTGACGGAGCTCACGACGAAGGGTCGGGTGCCCTATCCTGGTAAGAAGGGTCCCCAGTGACGCATCTGTAGTCCCTGACCCCCTCTTGCTGTAATCGAGCCACTCCCTCTCCTGGGCCTCAGTTTCTCTATCTGTGCAACAGAGAGGTTGAGCATCTGATCTTAGGTTCTCTCCATGGTCGGGGCTCTCAGCCTTGGGGACAGGGCCTGCCTGTGATCATGCCCAGCTCGTCCGCAGGACGCCCTCTTTGTCCTCCCCACCCCACTTCCCTTGCGGAACCGGCTCCCCCACCCTCGCTCTGCCCGCAGGGATGGTGAACCGTGAGGTGCTGGACCAGGTGGAGCGGGGCTACCGGATGCCCTGCCCACCAGAGTGTCCCGAGTCCCTGCACGACCTCATGTGCCAGTGCTGGCGGAAGGAGCCCGAGGAGCGGCCCACCTTCGAGTATCTGCAGGCCTTCCTGGAGGACTACTTCACGTCCACGGAGCCCCAGTACCAGCCCGGAGAGAACCTCTAGGCACCACAGGCCAGACTGGCTTGGATCCGACGGTCTCGCCTCCTCTGCCTGCCCACCGACGGCCTTCTCACGGGCCGAACTTCCAGGGGCCGGGCCCCTTCCTCTTCTGTGGCTTGGAAGGGCTTTGGGACCCAGGCAGCCCTCGAGGCCGCACAGGGACTGTGTCCCAGCTCCAGCCACACGCCCCTCCCTGCACTCCCTCCTTGAGCTCTGTGGTCTCTGTGGAGGAGCCACGGACAAGGGCTGGGCCCAAGAGCACAGTTTCCCAGCCTCAGCCTCCTCCATGCATCGAGCTCCTTCACCGCTTCCCGGGCCGCCCCAGGTCTGTCTCAAGAGCTGGCCAAAGAGTCTTTCCAAAGAGGAGCCTTGGGCCCTGGCCTGCAGCCCACCCACCACCTTGCCCTTTGTCATTCATTTGGAAACATCAGTGGGTGGATGCTGCGGCCAGACTCCTCTGGCCAGACTCCTCTGCTCGTGCTTCCAGCTGGGCAGCCTGAAGTCCAGCTCGCCCTGACACTGGCTGGTAGGATGAGGAACCCCTCAAACCTTCCCTTCTCAGACCTGAGGAACCCTTGGAGATCATCTATTCCTTGCCCCCATTTTATCCATGGGGAAATTGAGTCCGGAGAGGAGATGTGACTTGCCCAAGGCCACAGAACAGTTCAGGTGTGAGGCAGGATCAGAACTGGTGCTCCCTCTGTCTTCCTCAGGAACCAGTGAGAATTGTCCCCGGAGGCATTATGGACAGACTGGGGCGGCCCCGGAGACAAGGGGCCTGAGAATGGGTTAGCGATGGCAGAGTCCTGCTGCCTGCCTGCTTGGCTGGGCTTGGCGGAAAGAGCATGGTGGCAGATGTGGGTTGCGCTAGGAGTAAGGGTGGAGAGGCAGGCTTCTACCAAGGGTGGGTGGTTTTTGGCCTTTGGAGCCAGCCGGCCACAAAAGGGAGTGAGCTCCTGGGCTCTGGAGGCAAGCAAGCAGAAATTGCAGAGCCAAAAGGCTGGGAGGCCCTGGCTCTGGCCTCAGGAGCTACCCCAGTGCTCCTTCCCCACTTGTCCTGGTCCCCAGGCTGGTACCCTTTAACTCACAAGCAGGGAAAGGAGTGCCTGGGCTGGGGTGCAAGAGGATGTGGTGCCCACTGCCAAGCCCCAGGACTGGCTGTGTGATCTTGGGTGGCCCCTGCTTCCTCTCTTGGCTGCAGAGTCTGCCCCTTATGTGACTGTGGCCCCTGCAACTGCTCAGCTCCTGTGCAGACCCCATGTCAGGACATTCCTGGTGAGACCAAGGGCATCAGGTGACTGTTCTGGCCCTGGCTCTGCTATCCAGCCTTAGGGTGTGGTGGCTTCTCCCCGGGCCTCAGTGTGCCCGTCTGTAAAAGGACAGCTGAAAGTTGGTGGCATCTCGCCAAGGGTCCCTGTGTGTGTGCATATGTGTGTGCATGTGTGCGTCTCCATGTGTGTCCATATTTAACATGTAAAAATGCCCCTTTCTCTGTCCCCCAGCCATGTACATTTCACCCGTGGCCCCCCGTCATAGCAATAACATTCCCGCTGCCAGGAGCTCTCGAGCCAGCCGGGCCCTGCCAGCGGGGAGGAGGCCAAGCAGTGCCTGCCTGTGGGATTCCACCCTTTCCAAACTACATGTTGAGACCTATCTTCTCCCGTCCATTCCAGTCACATCCAGGCTCGCTCACCTGGCGAGCTCCCACATCCCCTCCAACTGCCCAAGGCCCTTTGTATAAGGTGTCCTGATACTGTCCTTTTTTTTTTTTTTTTTAAACAGTGTTTTGTAGATTTCAGATGACTATGCAGAGGCCTGGGGAATCCCCGGCTCTGGGCAGGGCTTGGGGGTCCCAAATTCCATGGCCCAGGCTTGGGGGGTGGGGGGGATGCAGAATTGGTTGTAAATACTTTGCATATTGTCTGATTAAACACGAACAGACCTCAGAGTTTGACCAATGGTTTATTGAACATCTACTGTGTGCCGGAGAGTGAGAGAGGCCGGGATGTGAGAACACACCATCATGAGAGTTGACTTTGTCCTGGGCAGTCCTGGCTGGAGGACATCAAGCCAGGCAGAGGGTGGCATGATCAGATTGGAGACAGCCATGGCGGAATGTGGCTGTTTGTACATGTGTCCTGTGTCCGGGGGAGAGCACCCAGGTGGAGAACCAGGCAAAGCTGAGCCTGGGCCTCCCACCATGTGACGAAGTCCACACTCAGATGCCCACGGTGGGTGGTGACAGTTGACACTGGGGGCTGGGTGGACCTGTGTGGAGTTGCAGGGCTTGGGGGTGTTCGTGGGGAGGTCACACACACTGGGGCATCCTGGTGTGTGTGCATGCGTGTGTGTGCGCTGTGTGTGTTGTGTGTGTGCAGTGTATGTGTGCAGTGTGCTGTGTGTGTGCGCTATATGTATGTGGTATGTATGTACTGTATGTATGTGTATTTTTCCAGGAGTGCGGGTCAACAAAAGACCTGAGCACGCTAGAAAAATCCAAAGGCCCTTTCCTCCCCTTCCTCCCCCACCAGAGGACACAACCTGGAATGCTGACTTGCAACAGTCTATGTCACACATCTGTACATGTGAGTCACCTTTGACCAGAATGATGCTGCCTAATTAAACACAAATTGCAAAATGGGACCTTTCTCTGTTTCTTGTGTTATTCACAAGCCAAATATACCGTGGTGTCCAGGTCAGATGGACACCTGGAGACCCCACGGGTGTGTGTGAGTCAGAATGGAGGTGGGGTCTGTGGTGAGTATCCTCTGTTGCTGGGTGTGTGTGCCTTTGTGTTCATGTGGGTGTGTATGTGCACCTGTTTGCTCGCCGCATCGATTGCTTCACAGATGAGCTGTTTGGATGTTGGTCCGGGTGGTCTGTGAGTCTGGGTCCTGGGAGTGTCCCAGATGCATGTACCTGGGCACTTATGGGGGGTGAGGCAAGCAGATTGGCTTGTTCTGGCTGTGTGGGCAGGATGTGTGTATTTTGTATGGGTCTGTGAGCCTGGGGGCTCCTGGGACATGTGGGCTTCAATGTGTGCAGCTGACGGGTTCATGTGGGTGTCCGTAGGGGCGGCATGTGTGCCCCTGTGGACTGGTGTGGGGAATCCCAGCACCAGCTACTCCTGCCAGCGCCCACCTGGACCCAGGGACAAAAGGAGCACATGGGGGGTGTGACATGTTCCAGATGACAGGGTCAAAGCGGGTCTACACTGCTAGCAGGTGGGAAGCGCCTCTGCAGCTCCAGGAGAGCAGGACGGGACTGCATGGGGCTTCCTCCTCTTCCCTCCTCTTCCTCCGGGCCTTCCTCCTTCTCCTCTCTCCTGTTCCTCTGTCAGTGCCTCTGCAGCTCTCTTTGGTACCACGGCAGACATTCTTCTGCTTCTTTTCCCAGGCCCCTCCAGTTTCTTGGCCTTTCTCTGCGCGTCTGCTTCTGACTTTCCATTCCTTCTGCACATGTCTCTCTGAGTCTCGCTCTTGCTGATTTCTGGCCTTTTCCTCTCTGTCCCTTGCTGTCTTCTCTCTGTTTTTTCTAGTCCCAGCTATTTCTCTCTCAGGCTTCCCTCCCTCCATCTCTCCACGTCTCTCACTCTTCCCAGCCCTCAATGCCTTTGCCCAGCCTGTTTCCACCTCTGGGAATGCCCTTTCTTCCCTCTCTGCAATCTGGCAAACTGCTATTCACTCTTCAAAATACATCTTTGAGACTGCAGACCACCCAGGGAGCGCTCCCTGACCCCCTGGAATCCGCAGGGCCCATCATGGTAGTTCATACAGCTTAACCAGCAGAACAAGCGCTCGAGGGACTGGGGAAGTTCACTGGTGAGCCCGGGTCACGCCACGTGGGTGCTGTCTGGGCAGGGAAAGGTGGGCGGGAAAGCTCCTTCTCTGGCTATGATGTCCCCTCTGGGCCTGTCCTCACGCTGCGTGTGAGGGCGACTGAGCTAGATCCTGGAGACAGAGGGAGAGGCAAGAGCTGGCATCCACCTTCTGGGGCCACTGACTCTGGGCTCTGTCCACTCTCTTGTCCCCGGTGGTTTCCTGCCCTCTTCGAATTCATGAGACTCTGGGGCTCTGTGTCCTCAGCCTTTCCCTTCTGGTCTCACTTGGCTTTCCTCTTTTTCTCTAAGCATTGTTTAATATTTGAGAGAAATAAAATGTTTTCTCCCATGACAAAAAAAATATGTGTTCTTTCTGGCAGAGTAGGAAGAATAGAGAGAAGCACAAAGAAAACCAACCAGCTATATTTCCCACCTCCTGGAGGCTGGGGCATGTCTCTGGGATAGTTGTGGCCGTCTGGGCCTATCACGGCTCTCTGCCTCTGGGCCTCTCTGCCTCTCGGTCTCTGTGTCCCTCTGTCTGTTCCTCTCCAGCCTCCAGGCAACTCGCACTGGCTCTCCTGCCTCCTTTCTCCGTGTATCCATCGACCTCCTTCCAGTGTTGCTCTGCCAGCATGTGGAGCATAGGGAGCGTGTTGGGTGTCGATGGACTATGTGTGCAGTGTGTAGCGTGCAGTGGTGTTTGTGGCGTATGTAGGGTGTGTACTGTGATGTGTGCACAGTGCCCGTGCTGCTCCGGCTGCCTCTATGGGCTATGGCCCCCAGGCTGCCACAACCTTCATTCATTCTGTACTCCTTTCAGGTTTTCTGCTGGGCTCGCGCGCGCGCGCGCGCGCGCGCACACACACACACACACACACACAC